ATTTGCATTGTGCTTGATCTGTTGTCTTGTTGTTTTTGGTGCACCAGAGCACTTCAGCACTCACTCACTCGATCGGCATCATCATGCTCTTCTTTCCTCTCCCAACACTTTTTCCCCCTGCTTTTTGCTTCTTCGAGAACTTAGATATTCCAAGATTTCCGTCCAATATAGCGATATTGCTCCCCAAATCGCTTAAGGTGGCAGATGTCAGCACTTACTGACAACTCCACAACTTCTTCTTTCTTAGATGATACGTCGATCGACAAGCACTTTCGCTACGCTTCTTCGAAATGCTTACGGTGTTCGGGCAGTCCCAACCAGGTACTCCTTCATAAGATTAGCGTATGAAAAAGTAAGCTATCAATTCTACCAACACATTGTTTCTGGCAAAATGCCATCTTGTGACCATGCATTTTACGCACAAATGCACGCTGTATCCTTCGATAACCGGTTCTAAATTTCTACTTAAATTGTTGGAAGTGAGGAAGGAACCTGCAGTTTTTGATCTTAATTTGATCTTAAGATCGTCCTTTTAAAAGTTTCAAGTATTTTTTGACACCAGCATGACAGTTTGCATTGCCAAAATGCATTTCCCAAATTACTCATTCTCGGATGTGATAAGCATAAAAGGAGTGTTGTGTTTGAGTTCATGTATTTCAAGGGAACTGTATTTTTCTTTGAGTACTAGCTTGTAATTCCTTAATAAACCATTCTATCTTCAAGAGTTGCAAGAAAGTTATGCACTTACTTAGATGAGCGATTTTGTGGTTGGCGCTGAATAAGGTTCTACCGAAAGAAAGGACTTGTGTGCAGCAGCACGGTTACCTGAAGTAAATGGGGTTGTGATTTCGTAGCCAACTGGCCTAAACTCATTCACTCACATATTCCCTCACATGTGACTGTCATTAGCGTCCGAAACCTTCTATGAAGAAATTTTCCTTCATGGCCCTTTTCTGCAGCATTTCTCAAGGATAGGGAAGGGTTCTTTCTTTGTGGCCAAATAGAAACGGTGGAAAGGAAGTGGAAATGCCAAAAACTTGAAAGCGTTTTCGACATTTATCGCTTTTAGCTTCTAAACTCGCAAGTAATTGGTGCCTCTCTATTTGAACACATCTGAGTAAGTAGGGAGGTAATTTAGTCATCATTAGAGTTGACCACTAATTAGAGCGAACCAGTACGCGTCCAGAATACATCTGTTTTTTTACAGAACATTTGCGTCTAACAAGGAGATTTTTGAGAATGCGCAAGCTAAATTGAAAACTCTCACAGAAGAACCTGATGTAGACGTTAAGCTCGAGATCTACGCTCTGTATAAGCAGGTTGGCGGTGCAGTTCGTTTTCTTGCAATATTTCCTAACAGCTGTTATAGGCTACCATTGGGGACGTGCAAGGAAGTCGGCCAGGAATGATGGATTTTGCAGGCAGGGCAAAATATGACGCTTGGGCAAAAGTGAAGGGTCTTGAACAGGTAACTGGAAGAAAGCCTGTTAACTTAGAATGTTTTTTT